TAAAAAATTATATTTATTACACATTTAATTTTAAAAAAAAAAACTCATTAATATATTACAAGTTATAGGTTAGAAACATAACAATTAAATTTTGACATCGACCAGTCTTGAACCTGTGAACTTCTCCATAATAGAAAAACAACGAACCAGAAGAGCCATTGCAAGCTCATTCTAAAGTGTTGCATAATATTGTATTTTTTGGTCCTCCAACCACAAAGGGATACATCAGGTCCCCTCCACAAGTGTTTACATCTTTTAACTTATCCTCGGACTCCAAATCACATTTTAAATTTATTAAATAGTAACGAGTGATGCAAATTTCACAACTTTGCAAACTTCGTCAAATTTATCTATGTCTAAATCTGTCAGCTCCTCTTGCCAAAAGAAATATCTATCAACTCCCCTTCACAGGTCCAACCCAAGGCACCACGAGGTGAGTTTTTTTTTTTTTTTTTGGAATAATAACCTGGAATGCTGGAAGAAATAATGGTGCAGCTATAGGTGTGAAATTGAAATCAAATTCCAAAATTTTCAATTCATACGACTAATGCAGACCCTGTTATGCTCGTCTCAGTACATACTGCGAGTTACTGACAACTTTAAATGGGGAATTGAATATGACATGTCACCAACTTTTAATTTTTTTCTTTCGGCAAAAATGCATGGCCAACCCTCAATGTGATAAGGTGTAATTTCCGACAATTTGTTAGTTAGCTTGTCTATTGACTAGTCAGCACCACGTTAAACGATATTCTATTGATTATTTTTTTCTTTTGTGTCAACATCTCATTAACTTGTTACAAGGGCTTTTTTTTTGACAACTTGTTACAAGGGCTTAATTTGCTCCTCCTTGAATAGTAACCAGTGATGCAAATTGCACAACTTTGCAAACTTCGTCAAATTTATCTATGTCTAAATCTGTCAGCTCCTTCTGCCAAAAAAAAAAAGTCTATCAGCTCCCCTTCACAGTTCCAGCCCAAGGCAGCAACGGGTGAGTTTTTTTTTTTTTTTTTTTTTTGGAATAATAACTTGGAATGCTGGAAGAAATAATGGTGTAGCTA